AGCCCTTCAAGAGGCGTTGGGACTAGCCATAGAGATGGATCCTTTCCCGTTACTAGGATTCATACCAAAAACACTTTTTGACCCCAAAACCAAGAAAAATAGAGGATGGGTTTTGGAATATTATTCAAGAAAAATTATGAATATTTATAAGAGAATTAATAACAACAAGAAAAAGCATATCATAAGCATGTCACTAGTTACATGAACCATCCATGTTAGCATTTTGAAAAAATAGCTTGTATCTCATATCGAACGTTGTAAAATTGTCCAAAAGAAAATGAATCTATCAAACTAGAAAGTCATTAGTCTTTAAACTATCAAGCAGGCAGACACAAACATGCCTTTCAATCCCTTTGCTCATCATTTTGTTCATTACTTTCATTTTGGCGAGACAAAAGGTGATGGCTTGATTGTGAAGAGGGACGATTATTTGGGGAAAAGCCTTGCCCACTATTAGCATGCGGAACCTACAATTTAGTAGAAAGAAATTAAGGGATAACTAAAATTTTAAAAATTCAATCAAAAGAAAAAAAAAAACGATTTCAAAGATTAAACTTAAAAAATAGTGAAACCCGAACAAAGAGGTATAAGTATGAGATACCTCTTGACGGGTTGCATATGCCTATTGAAAAATAAAATTCAATCAGTATAGATTTGGAATGAAAATTGAAAAGAACAAAAACACAAACTCACCAAAAACTAAAACATAAGAGATGAGAAACTAAGAAAAGAAGATTGAAGAGGTACATAAAAGAACAAAACAAAAGCTAACTTTATTAAAATGGTAATGATATAAGGAAATAATCTCCTTATATAATTTTTTATATAATTTTTATATCTTATTAAATAAATAATTATTAAAAATATTTAAAATTATGTAAAAATTATCTAACAATTATTTTTCTTATAAGCATCGAAATCTTACCACAAGCACTTCTAACTTAAGAGATAAAACAATTAGGGCCAATTACTTAGAAAGAAACAAAAAATTAATAGAAATAAAATCAAAGGATCCGGTTGAAAAGATCAAAATAAATAAAGAAAATAAAAACAAAAAGTAAAATATGTCACAACAAAGTTCCGAATGATAAATCTATTTGTCATCTACCAAACCATATATATGTAAGAATACAAAGAAAAAGAATGTCAAGTTGTAATGGTTGAACAAAAGAAGTTTACCTCCCTATCCAATATGTTGGCAGCACCTAATTGGTTGGCAGCTTGTAGAATATCTATGACATTCTCATCCAAGAATCTTGCCTTCATTAGCTGCATTAATCCACTCAAAATATTCTCCATCATGCTCAACCTCTCCTCAACATCACCATTTGTAGACGTGGAAGGGATAGATTTTTTGGAAGTTAGGACCTTCCCTAAGCAGTGAACCCTCCTTTTCTTGTCAGATCCCTTCACCTTAGAGAATACATCATCTTGCCAAGATGTAGTTTCCTCTAATGCATTTGCAGAAGAAGTAGACTCACTCATGTAGTTTTTAAGTTGTTCCTATGACATTTAACCCAAAAATAACTCATTATTTTTTTTTATACCATGAAGAACGGCATACATCATTGAAAACACAGAGTTTGTGTTTACTAACCATCACTTGGCTTGCCTTTTCACTTACAGGTCCCCCTTCCTTGTTTGTTCAACTTTGAATGTAGAGTTCAACCCTTGACGACTTTCTCCCTTCAGCAAAGCTTTCTTGGAAAATAAAAAAGCAATAAATAATAAAATTCTAGTATACCTTTAGGCAATTATACTAAAAAAAGGAAGATAGGATAACAATTTAATTTATTACTGATCTAACATCATGCCCTAAATTAATTTCAATTATCACTTGATTAGTATGTACACTGCTTTTTTTCATAAAGTAGCTTGAGCAAAAAAAATCAATTACCTTCTCATTGACAAATCATGCAAAAGTCTTGGTGCCTAGGCAATGGGGCTTTTCAAGTTTTAGCCTGTTTTCTTTATTCTGTTTGTTAATTTTCTGGAAGAAAACAAAAGGTATAAGTTATTTGTGATAATAGAAAATTAGGCAATATGTCAACTGCACAACAAAATTGTCATACTTCTCCCTTCTCACTACGCCAATATTGAACAAGCACTTCAAATTGCTCCTTACCAACTTGAGGATCATTTATCTTTTCATACATTTCATCTACTGTTAGCAATGGATCAAATCTTGCACTTTTTAGCTCATTTTTATAGCTTTTCCATTTTTCATTAACACCAATCATAATCTAACTCTTGATTTGCTTTTTGCGTCTTTCCTCAATAAGGAACTTGGACTAAAATTAGAAACCACAAAAACAAAATGAGATTCAAAAAGACCGATAATAACAATGGTAGAATATCATAACAGTGAAAAGTCATCTTTAACCTGCAAAACAAATACCATGTAGCTTCATCTTCAACACAAACCTCTGTAAGCAAACAATTCAACCTATAACCAGCACAAATCACTAGACATGTAGCCACACAAGAATAATGTAGATCCACCATAATTAAAATTGAGTCCTATTCATCATACACAACTCTAACATCTAAACCAAATAAGCTCCTTTTTCACATGTAAAAAATGAAACTTTCATTCAAAAAAAAAAACTTATACCAAATAGAAACGTATTAGAATCGGTAGTTCCTCCCAATGGGCATTAATGAATGATAAAAAGTTAATAGTTAAAAAAAGAAGTTTTTTGGACCTTGAGTAATTAAAAAATATTCAAATGGCAAGACAACAATATAAAAACAGGCTGAACAGTTTAAATAGTTTCCATCTTCAAAAGTAAAATCCTAAGTTGACCATGACAATCACCATCAATGACAAACACAACAGCCTATAGCTTACGAAGGGAGTCCGATTGGTTATGAAGTCAAACTATCCAAACCCCAGTGTGAAAAGTAAAGGCGGGTTTTGAAAAAACAAAAGGAGAAAAATTAACAGGTTTTGAAAAGACAATTGAAGAAACACAATCTGAGATATCTCACCTCCCTAAAAAAAAAAAAAAAGAATCAAGGTTGACTAACCTTGATCAGTATGTACATTACTTAAATCTATAAAATAAGAAGTAATATACCAAATTTGCTTTCCACAAGCTAAGCCAATTGGCCCAACCCATAACGCTTAATGTTATCTGCTCATAATCAATGAAGTTTTGGCCTGCTCAAGGGACAATTATTGAAGGAAAATAAAACCACAAAGAATCAAACAAAATTCTTTTGTAATGAATCATAAAAAATTCGTTCACAAAAACAGCACAGCTAATAACTTTCATTCTGATACAAAAGACTAAATTGCAGCTCCATAGCAAAATGACAGAATGGGAGAAAATAAAGACATGCAAATGTCACTAAATCAAACCAAAAAAACTTCCAAAAATGGTAGCATATAAGCATAAAACTAGGCAAATAAACTACAAATTTATAAAATAAGAAGTAATATACCAAATTTGCCCCAAGTTTACTAATCTATTAAAGGTATAAGCCTTTTTTTTTTTTTTTACCTTAATAATCTTCCACATGTCATCCTTATAAATTTGAGGCATATCCCTCCATTCCTTGTAGTTAATAGGTGCAACATTTGATT